CAGGCTCAAATAGTTGCACAACACATCAGGAGAATACACAACTAGGTTCGGCTACCTAGCTGCATCAAAGGAGCGAGAACTCTCACTGCCCAATCATAATCATGCCTCCTTTGATTTGACCTCAATGCTCTGGAAACAAAAATCCCCCCCCCCCAAAAAATCAAAGTTTTTCTATGGAAAGCTATACAAGGAGCATTACCAGTTGGAGAGCAGCTCGTCCTTCGACAAATCGCGAGCTCTGCTACTTGCCCACGATGCCAGGAATCTGAGTCGGTTCATCACATGCTCTTCAACTGCACCTTTGCTAGGGAGGTTTGGGCGAAAGCTCCTCTAGCTACGGTCTTTGATCCAACCATGATAGAGGATCTCACCTCAGGCCTCACGCTGGCAAAATCCATGTTCACTCTCCCGCCGACAAGATTAGCTGCTTGAAGTTTGTTCCCGTGGATTTGTTGGACTCTGTGGATCACTCGGAATCAGATGATCTTCAATAATCGAGTCTTCTCTCCAGAGGACACCATGCTTAAAACGATCTGTGATGCGAGAGAATGGAACATAGCTCAATCAGAATTCGACTTCTACGGAAGCGAATAGACATCCCCCAACGTCCTCCAATCATCTGTGATGGGACAATAAAGTGATGTACTGATGCAGCTTGGATTTCAGAGTTTCAAATGGCAGGGTTAGGCTGGATCTTCACCGATTCAACTCCCAATACTCACCATTCTGTTGTGATTCCTCACGTCGCCTCTCCGTTAATGGGAGAGTCCCTCGTCATGCGCGCCGCGGTGCTCTCAGCGATTCACCTCGACCCCAAATCTATCACCTTCCTCTCTGATTCCTTGACACTTATCAAAGCCACTGAGACCAAATCGAAATTGCTTGAGATCCATAGAATTTTAGATGATATTCATGCTTGTTTGCCTAAGTTTATGCTTGTTAAATTTAAGTTTATCCTAGAGCAGATAATGCCCTAACTGACTGTGTTGCCAAACAGGCTCTCAACAGCTTGTATGTAACCGATTTTTAGATTTAATTTAATGAGAACGGGGTTGAAAAAAAAAAATCCCCAAACATGAGCCAATCAACCTTACAAATTAAAAGAAAATATGAACCAATCGTTTGGTGATATATGTGCAAATTATGCATATTTTTAATTCTGGCCAAACAATTCTGTACTAATTGAAAAGCGAGACCATATATTAAATTATATGAATTGCACAATAAAAACATATATACAAAGTCAACGAGTAATAGCAGCTTGAATTTCTTCGAGTGAACGACCTCGAGTCTCTGGTACCATTTTCATCACAAATAGGATGCCCACACCAGATATCATTGAATATATGAAAAACACACCTGTGGTTTAATATAAACAAATTATTTAATTGATCATTAGTAATTAGAACTGATTCTACTTATTCATTTGTAAAAATGAAGTAAATTACCAGAAGAGCTCCAGTGGAAGAGGAAGTTGAATGTGAAAGAGACGAACCAATTGCAGGACCAACTCGTTAGGTTGCATAGAGTTCCTCCTGATCCCTTTATATTTATTGGTGTCATCTAATTATACCACAAAATCATACAATTAATGATACTTTACATACAAATTATTAGGGGCCTTATTCATTGATAGATTTATCTAGATTTTGTGGATTTTAGAAATTTTGAGATTTTAGAAATTCATATGGATTGTTATTGATTTTTACAAACTATTCTTATGGATTTCTATGGATTTGACATTGATTTGTATTAACATTTTTCTCTATATAAGGTAATATATATTTTCGTATTTTAATATAAAGTAGTCAAATATTATATCTTCCAATTTCTACAAATCATTTTAGGCATGTTTGGTTTTTTTAAATAAGAAGTGAGCAAACCAACCATTGCCATCCTCTTCACGTATTGTTCTTCAGACACCATAGACAATCACTTTCTTTTTGCCATTATTTTATATAATATATGTTTGTTTGTTTGCTATATTGTTATGTTTTTATGTTTAGCCATCGTTAGATTTTTTTGTGTTGTATTTCTTGTGTTATGAAGAAGTAAGTAACCCAAGCAATAAAGAAAATAATTTTGAAGAGAACATAGAAATAGGTCCTCTTGAATCTCAACAGAGGGAATATGCTAATAACTGGAGAAACGTGATAGCATCTAGTATGTGGGCAGATGCAATGGGAAGTGGAAGTAACCAATGATAATGATGAGTATTATTAGCTCTCTCTTTTTTTGTTTTAAGAATAATGAGTTCTTTTTTAGGAGGAAAATGATAGCTCGAGTATTATTAGTTTTTTTTTGTTTTAAGAATAATGAGTTCTTGGTTAGGAGGAACATGATAGTTCACG